TACACAACATACTGTTGACCTGTGATTCCCAAACAGATTACCAACAATGCGATATTCTACTGTTGTGGCCAAGTAGTATATTGCCACTGCTACTCGAATCTTTTTGAATGTGAAGATGGAACTTTTCACAGATGCGCTGGCACATGTCCCTTGACATTCTGACGTTTTCTTTACACTGAGTTTCATCAAAACGTGGTACAGTTACTTCCCACCAATATCTACTCCTTTCCTTTTCCAAAACAAGGGGTTCTCTAGTGATGAACCCACGCACAAAGTTTGGACGAATCTCTTCCGTTTTCTAGATTTGGACAAACGTCTAGTATATTCATCCATGGTTATAGAGAAGTGACAAGAAATATCAATACCTCCCACCATGTAAACGCAGGCACAATTTTGCCATTTGCCCCTGCGGGTAAATTTACCCCCTGGGGCAAAATACCCATGGGGGTAAAAGTGGTGCATGTAAACAAGGCTTAAGACGCAAAGTTTGCGTTTAGTAGCCATGATTCTTTCATCGTAAACTGGGGGGTGAGCATGACAACTGAATGCATTAATGAGTTTGGTCATTATAACCTGGGGAAAATACCCATAGACAAATGGCATTTTTTCTAGTTTGGCATCATAACCAGGGTATTATAAGGACAGGACATCCGTCCTGGCAAAAACATGGCATTATATCAAAAGGGGCATTATAACCAGGGCATTATAACCAGGGTATCATAACCAGGGTGGTATTATAACCAGGGTGGTATTATAACCAGGGCATTATAACCAGGGTATTATAACCAGGGTGGTATTATAACCAGGGGGTATTATAACCAGGGCATAATAACCAGGGCATTATAACCAGTGTATTATAACCAGGGCATTATAACCAGGGTGGTATTATAACCAGGGTGGTATTATAACCAGGGCATTATAACCAGGGTATTATAACCAGGGTGATATTATAACCAGGGCATTATAACCAGGGTATTATAACCAGGGTATTATAACCAGGGTGGTATTATAACCAGGGTATTATAACCAGGGCATTATAACCAGGGTATTATAACCAGGGCATTATAACCAGGGTGGTATTATAACCAGGGTGGTATTATAACCAGGGTGCACTGTATCTCTATATCATGTCTGTAAGTTAAACAGAACTTCATGCTACTGCATAACGGAAAATTGCAATATATCTCATATCTATTATTTATGTCCCGCTATATAAATTTACTACTACTACTACTACTACTACTACTACTACTACTACTACTACTAGTACTACTACTACTACTTCTTCTACTACTACAAGTAGTACTACCACTACTTTTTGTTTCCACATGGTGACTGTATTGACGTTATTTCCCTGAGCAGATGTCTCTACATGACGACTCATGTAACTATTTATTAGATTGGGCGTATTCCATGTTGTACATCAAAGTAGACATATATAATTTACAGCAGCGATGAAGCGACCAGTTCAACTGATTCCAATGTCTTTGCAGAGTTTTCTCCAAAACTAGAAGGATATCTCCCCATCGAATGGTAAATCTAGCTAAATCGTGTGCACCGTTTCGCGTGCAGTTCTAAAGCTCCACATTGGTAGTGTCTATAAGTGCTATTACACGTAAATCGTCACACAGCAAAGTTTGGTTTTCTTGGCAATGGATATACAACAGGAGACCATTTGTAGAGTGCTTCTATTTCAACTGAATTTGGTAGACATGCATCCCTGTAAAAGAGTTGGAAAATGAACTTGGAAAACTTCAGATCCAACAAGCTGTGACCAAAGCCAGGGAACAGAAAGTGAATTGCATCTGATGCTGCAAAACGTGCCAAGGGCTGCACATTCTACAAACACAGTGGCATACGACTGAGATATGAAAATCCCCCCAGAACTAATGTCTTTCTGCCCCTAACATGTTATTTCGTAATTCTAGGCACGGCATGACTCTATTTAAGCAACATTTATTGCATTCCCTGAAAACCAAGCCACCAGCATGTTCGGGGAATGCCAGTATAGACTGTGGTATATCTCTGTATGGCGCAGCGTTATCAGTGCCACTCGGGACACCAGCACAACACTTTGGTCTGGCATTTCCAGTTCAATTATCCATTATAAACAACCCCGCCAGCAATTCTACGCTACATATCCGACATGCGTGGGTATTGATGTAGGCCAGCAATCGTCCTTCATTACTATCTCACATATTTCTGGTATGCTTCCTAAATATATTCTGTTCCTTAAGGTTACTGGATATTAGTATATGTAAAAAATATTAAGTCATATATTCACATTTTATTTTACAATTGACATGTGTGGGTTAGTCTCAATGTGATTTCTGCAGGACCTTATGCAATAAATATATAAAAGATGAGTCCATATATTTCTTCTTGTCAAAAAACTCCTGTTCAACCGCTCTTTAGGTGTACAATGAAATTTATGCGTAGTCATAGGCCACGCATAACGGTAGTATCTATGTCGTCATCATGCGTATGATGCTTGGCCTGGTTTTATGGGGAGTGTGCAGTAACGCTTGGATGCTGGCTGTGGCGTTGTTGGGAGGTGGTAGTGATACTCTTGGACGTTAGGCCTAGCAGCAGAGGAACCGGATAGGCGCACTGTCGGATGCTGGCTGTATCGGTGTTGGGAGGGGGATAAGGTAGTGTGGGGTCCGGCTCAGGAACGCTCGGACGCAAGCGGTGTCGGGACGGGGTAGGGACCGTACGCGAGAGGTGGCCTCAGAGAAGGTATTTTACCGCTATACTGCAGTTCTGAGGTTGAGCGAAGTCGCGAAGAGTTTGTTCCCTTTCATTTCATTTCCCAGCATCAATCGGAATTACATTCTCTTGGGAACCCATTGGTGGCACACGAACCACTCCGCGGTAGAATGATAAAGAAAGGTACGATGTAAGGAGTTTGCTCGTGAATTTGATGACATATGCAGTGAACTGAGCTCATCACGTGTTTCATCACGTCAATACCATTTTCCTACCGACTTGTATTTGTGTAGATATTCAGTGTGGTGAAACAGGACAGCCTTGTGTCATGCCCTACGACGATCTCACGCTCGGAAAATTTGCAAACATGGTCAATAATGAGAACACATAGGTGCACATCAAGCACATACCTACGTGTGTACATTCAGGCTCAGCCTGTTCCAGACTGCGGACATTTCCTTTACAAGCATGTTTGCTGAACTCCGTGAAACTCTCATACTGCTTCTTACATCGATATACACAATCTCTGTGTCGAAGTTCCGTGACGTCATTTACAGCGATATGCATCCACATACTGAAGTACTTGTACATGACGCCTCTTGTAGCATATTTCATATCTCTCTCTCTCTCTCTCTCTCTCTCTCTCTCTCTCTCTCTCTCTCTCTCTCTCTCTCTCTCTCTCTCTCTCTCTCATCGGTACGTCAGTGAAAACGTACAGATGAATTTCACTTTAAACTAAAACGTAAATCAAATAAAGTGAAATTAGAACTACGAATCCTCAGGATTTTACCTTGCCAATTGAACATTTAAATCTCAGAATTTTATTCAACTTAGGATAAAAGTTGTTTAACAAACGATCATAGTTTGAAATCGCTATTGTTGGTTTGTATTACAAGGGGGTATGTACATCAAATGAAACACCGAGAAGAAGTAGGGTTGGTCTAAGTTAACGCTCATCACGTACTGCACGTGCATTTGTATCACAGTTCCAATTACTGCGTTTACTCCCTTGTAATACAAACCAATAATAGCGATTTGAATCTATGATCGTCTGTTAAGCAACTTTTATCCTTAGTTGAATAAAATTCTGAAATTTATATGTTTAATTGGCAAGGTAAAATTATTATGATTTGCAATCTTAATTTCACTTTATTTGATTTACCTTTTTGTTTAAAGTGAAATTCATCGGTACGTTTTCACTGCAAACAGACTATAGTATAGGTTGTATGGCAAAATATTCAAACAGTACGAATAATCCTACAACAAATTCAAGGTATATAAATTTACCACAATTTAAAAATATACGGAGACTTAGATGATTATTTTACCCTATTGTCAGACACAAGATGTTGAGAGGGGCGGTGGGGTAGCCTAGTGGTTAAAGTGTTCGCTCGTCACGCTGAAGATACAGGTTCTATTCCCCACATGGGCACAATGTGTGAAGCCCATTTCTGGTGTCCCCCGCCGTGATATTGCTGAAATATTGCTAAGAGCGGCGTAAAACTAAACTCACTCACTCACTCATTACGACCTTTATATGGCTCAGTAAAGGCGCAATATTGATTTGCATGTTTCTACCTCCACTTGGACTTCTCAACCGTGGGGCAATACTTGATCATTACGCAATTCTAAGCTGAATGTATTAGTGCACTAAAGAATCAGTGTCCCCCATGCCCTGCTGTCTAACACGTTGTGCAAGTCAAGACCACATGTTGGTATTCCTGATGGACGACAGATGAGATAGGAGTCTGCATCACTAATGTATTAGTAGCCTGTCTTACAGTCGCTGTCTGAGAGTGCTCCCTCTGTGTTTTACCTTCAAAGCTTGATTAAACAATTCCAGAAATGTGGTAGACACTCTGAGGAAGTGGGACACGTCGCTTGTCAACTCGACGGCGATGCTATCCCACACCACACCCTTTGCTTGTGCTTTTCATACCTTATACACTGGCACGTTCTGTTATGCAATTTGTTGAGTTAGTAGATCCTTCATATTTCATGACTTTTTTTACGTTTACGGAATGGATTCTGTTTCGGTAGATATTCGAAATAATAATTCAATAGACTATCGAAATAAAAATAATTCATGAATACATGACACTTTTTATGGTTAGCAACTTCAATTTTATTCCTTATACGACGTTCCAGAGCTAATTCTAGAGAATAAAAAAGAAAACGTGTCATGTATTCATGTTCGTACAACTTCTAGATGTTTTTCCAAAACCTAAAAATAATTCTATTTTGAATTTAGACTAAGACTCGGGTTTAACATTTTGTATGTACAATTGCAGGTGGATGCCAACCTTGAAGAGGCCGCGTTTACCAAAGAGTCAGCTAAGAATGCTTCCATGTTTGAATGGTGGAACTACCAGAACGCCACACTGCAGAGATGGTTTGCTACCATCGCAGATATCGGCATCGCTGCCATGCCAGACAAGGTCAAACTAAAGCGGGTGAGGAGCACAGAAACCCTTACGTCGAAGTGTTTGTGATCACCAAATTACAGACTAGTTTTTGTTTGTTGCTTAATACGGTCATTCTCCGGCTGTTCGACTGGATATGTTACATAACAATTGGAGTCTGGACCAGATGATCCAGTGATTGATATTATGGTCGACTCTCGACACCGTCGGGGAGCGATGCCATCAGTTAGCCAGGTCGCCGTGCCCTACTTCCCGATCTATTATGTCCCTTCTTTCGATCAGGATAAGCTGCTTGAGACCACTTGAGAATCCATTGACCCGATGATACTTGACATGGAATGTATATGTTTCAACTGTTGCAAGTTAGGCTTGTGATACATCTCGATATGAAGGTCACGATACAATGCATGGTACAAGAAAACACGTAACTTTACATGCTCAGGAAATACTTCCATCTTGCAATGATAGGAATAGTTGTCTTCCTGTAATACATTTAGTAGATCGGAGTCAGATTCATGAAATATAAGCGACGCAGCCCCTTCGTTGCTATAAGTAATTGAGTACGGTTTTACATCAATATTCCACCAACATCACGACGAGGGACACCAGTAATGGGATTCACTTAATGTACCCGTGTGGGAATTCGAACCCTGGTCTTTGGCGTGAAGGGCGAACTAGGTTGCTCAACCGCCCATGTTGCCATAAGGGATTTCTGCTAAAGGCAGGGTCGATTGTGCGAATCTGACTGTATCCTGAACCAACGTTCATGAATCACTGTGGTACTGGGAGAATAAGGAATTGCATCGGATATCATTTGTGTAACTGACGCGTCAAACCTGGACATGTCTTCCACATGTCTGTCCACGTTTTGAAAGACATTGGTTTCAGACCTTATACATATAAGCAGAAGAATATAATGTACAATTGTTTTCTTGCCATTATAAGTCGCCCTGGTATAGTCGTATATTGTACCTACTTTAATACTCGAGACTAGGTTCATGGCGTGTCAGGTAAGTGAAATGAGTTGCGCAGAGTTGTGTCTCTTCGTCCTGCAAGGATACTCTGGCCGGATCTCCAGTAAGAGTTTTGGATGCTAGCACCAATCTCGACAATGGTGTAACAAAGAATCATTGCTAAAAGTGTTATATGAGTTGATCACTTTTACTAAGTTGATGTAGTTATGGAATATGCTGGACTTGTTTTCAGCTGAACAACGTTCTTTCGGAGATGGAGGAGATCTACAGCACGGGTAAGGTGTGCGTCAAGGATGACCAGTGTCTGGAGCTGGAACCAGGTTAGTTGGTTTGTTGTTTAACACCCCACTCAGCAAATCTTCCGCTATCTGACGGAAACATATGCTTGTCATATACTTTACACGTGTCAGATGGGTACACAGATTAAGTGATCTTCACTACCAGTCTTTATGATCACTTTTCAAGGGCGAGTTGGATTGCTGGTACATGGCGACTGATACGTGTAATGGCCAAAGGTTCATGAACAGCTAAAGAAAGTTGTCCTGTCACGTTGTTTAGCCACGTTTGACGTCCTGTTCATGATGGCAACGCTCTGTCGCTCTGTCTAAATGTTGTTGTTCCTCAGATGCCTCTTTCATCTAATTGGGGCGGTGGGGTAGCCTAGTGGTTAAAGCGTTAGCTCGTCACGCCGAAGACTCGGGTTCGAATCCCCACATGGGTGCAATGTGTGAAGCCCATTTCTGGTGTTCCCCGCCGTGATGTTGCTGGAATATTGCTAAAAGCGGCGTAAAATCAAACTCAGTCCGTCAGTCTTTCATCTCATAAAAATATTTGAGTCTGTCTGTTCTAACCAAACTACATACACTGTGTTTCAGTTGATTTTTGTATGGCAGGCAGTGTGCCATGAAGTTATACATGTTGTGCAATACATTCTTCCAGGTATAGAACTATAATGTAAATGCTATAAGAATTGACTTTAATTTCAGTGGTTCATGGCATGGGGCATTCACAGATTGACCTCAGGTTAAGTCAGTTTAGCCCTCACCTTGTGAAGGCTCATTCTCCAATGGACTCACTCAAAATACAGTCATTCTTGTAATGGCTTGAGATATAATGTCATTCTGCAGGTCTTACTCGTTTGATGGCGACGTCACGTGACTACTGGGAGCTGACGAAAACCTGGCGAGGCTGGAGGGAACAGACTGGCAACAAGATGAAGGATCTGTACGCAGAGTTTGTTGTCCTTAGCAACGAGGCCATCAGAGCCAATGGTACATATACTCGAACTGAGCTATTTAGAACTATGTTTGTTAGAACGCGTTTTGAACTAGGTCGATACTACCGCCTGATCATACGTAATTCGTATCTATACAGGATTATTAACTAGATTAGATAATCACAATCACGGTAATGGCTTGATCGTGACTGAATATTGGTTAGATTACAACGTTAGTTCTGACAGATTTGACAACTTAGGATCTTTTCACTGTACTGGCTGGATATTTTCTGATGAAACCTAATGAGCAAATGAACTGTATCAATTCAGGAATGTCAGTTGCACGAATCACAGGCAAACAAATAGGGTTGCGCAACATAGAGAAAAATGAACAGTCCTTCTATATGCGAGCGAAGCGAGCAAAGGTTGGCAACGTGCTTCCCTCGCTTCGGCTCGAAAAATATTTTTAATATCAAAATAAAATATCGCCACCCATCAAAGGTAGACACCCATTTCCTCACAGGGTTGTGTTCTCAGATTTCCAACCTCATATTTAATAATATCTCGCGTTCAATATATTGAATTCAACATTTAAGGCGCCACTCGTCGCATGTCAAATCGTTCTTCGCCTCCAACGGAGTGAAGGAACAGGGGAGTTAAATCCTATTTGCTACAGTTTGCTTGTGATTCAACAGAGGCTCATTCCTGAGCTAAGTGTTTTATACGGCAGGATACAACGACACTGGAGCCTACTGGAGGTCGTGGTACGAGAGCGACACTTTCGCCTATGACGTGGAGCAGCTGTTCCTGCAGCTGGAGCCGCTGTACATACAGCTGCACGCCTACACCAGGAGGAAGCTGAAGAAGGTGTACGGGGAACAGATCTTCCCCAAGGAAGGGCACATTCCAGCCCATCTTCTGGGTGGGTATCACCTTATCCCGTTTCATCATTACTTTTTACTCTTTATTATTTATGTATGAAGAAAAAACTAAGGGAACCAGCACGGTAGAAACTCGTTTCTCGTTTTGAGCTGACTGGTGTCCTGTCTTCCAGGCAACATGTGGGCTCAGTCATGGGGCAACCTGCTCGACATTCTCCAGCCCTTCAAGGACAAGGAGAGCGTTGACGTCACTCCACAGATGAAGGCACAGGTACTGCACGCAGAGGAGATAAGTGAGGAGGTTTAGGGAGCGAGTTCGTAGTGTTGTACTTCGACTTCGGCAATATTCCAGTCATATGGGCGACAGAGAGGGGGGAAGGGTGTAGGTAGAGAGAGTGAGCGAGGGGGAGGAAGGGAGATAACTGATAGTGGCGGTTGTTGTTACCAATTGTCCGTTTCAGAACTACACTGCCATGAGGATGTTTCACACAGCGGACGACTTCTTCCGGTCACTCGGTATGAAGTCAATGCCGCAGTCGTTCTGGGATCGCTCCATGATAGAAAAGCCTAAAGATGGTCGCTCTGTCGTCTGCCACGCTTCTGCCTGGGATTTTTACAATGCCAGGGACTTCCGGTGAGTGGAACTAGATTATGTCTACAGGCTCTGCAAGTCAATACTGATAAGAACTTCAGATGCCTGAGATTATATACGTATTGCCTTATACTCAACTGAAACAGGGACTACCCGTGGGTGTTAATACTTATGTGTGTAAGCTCAGGACCTCAAGTTGGTGTCACCGCGTCGTTTTTTAATCTTTCCGATACAGCTTTTACATAGAAGCAGTCAGCTGATTTGTTTAAACCACAAAGTATTTGCTCTGTAGGGCGGTGGGTTAGCATCCGTTCGGCACGCTGAAGACCCGGGTTGGGTTCCCACGTGGGTACGATGTTTGAAGCCCATTTCTTGCGTCCGCCGCCGTGATATTGCTGCAGTATTGCAGCGTAAAACCATACTCCCTCACTCACCCATTTTGCTTTGCATTTAGAAGGTTGACCATGAAGACACCGGGCCTGAGCCTTCACTAGCATACACACCTCGTTGATCCCAACATTTTGCTACTTTTGCACATTATACCTACATCCTGTGTCCAAATACGCGTGTGTCCCCCGGACGCGTTCCTAACGTGGAGGATGGTTATATATCTTTGAGTGAGTGAGTGAGTTTAAATTTTAGGCCCCTTTATCAATATTCCAGCAATATCACCTCGGGGGACATCAGAAAGGGGCTTCACACATTGTGCCCATGTGGAGAAGTGTCTCAAAGATAAACCCTGTCTCTGTGTTGTGTAGAGTGAAGATGTGTACAGACATCACGATGCAGGACCTGATCACCATCCATCACGAGATGGGGCACGTGGAGTACTTCCTCCAGTACATGCACCAGCCTGTAGTGTTCCGCGCAGGGGCTAATCCAGGTAATACTATACAATAGAAGTAAGGAGTGGTACTATTCCAGCTATTTATGTTGAGAAAACCGTTGGGGAACCATGGGGAACCGTTGCTAAACACAACATCCATTTGACGATTCCAACTATGACTTGATGCACCTCTATCAAACAGTGGTGATGCCAGGTTTACCTGTAACCCTTACTCGCTGGTGGATTATCGGAGCGGGACTTAATATCACATAAACCAACGGTCAAGTATTTCATAAAACATATGCAAACCAGTTATTTCATACGCAAAACTAGCTGATGTCACAGTAATGCAATCATTTTTCACTGATAAGTCTATGTAACAGAGATTCTGTGGAATTACAGTAAAAATGAACACGCCAGAGGATGTGTCATCTACTTAACGGACATGTTCTTTATGAACCTTCCTGAAACTAGGTAGGTGAGCTACAGAACGTCATACAAGTAGCTGGAAATATCAGGCTGTCTGCCACTGAAACTTTTGAGCCACAGAATGTAATATGGTTCGAAATATCAGTCTGTCTATGCCTGTTTAAGTTTTTAAAAAACTTAATCAGTTACTGTAGTATTTTGGTTTTATTTAATAGGAGGCAAATAAATGTTTTGTTTGTAGGTTTTCACGAGGCAGTGGGTGATGTATTGGCGTTGTCAGTGGCAACCCCCAAACATCTACAGTCCATTGACCTGTTGTCGAACGTGGAAGAAGATGAAGGCAGGTTATTTGTTTAGATTCTAGAGAGGCATTTAGAGGTTATTTGTTTAGATTCTTGAGAGGCATTTAGAGGTTATTTGTTTGCTGATCAGTACTGAGTGACACAATATTTAGTGGTACCTTGTGTATTTGCTAAACACATTTCTGCTAATATTTCTCAAACGAACACAATTTGGTGGCATATTTTATCAACATTTATCAATATTGCAAACCGACGCCATATAGCTGAAATATTGCTGAGCGGGGCGTTAAACAACAACCAAAGCAAACCAATCTATATTGCAATAGAAGTGACAAAACCCTTACCGCATTCATAAGAAATCACCTGTAGAGAGCGACATCAACTACATGTTTAGCATGTACAAACACCACAAACGTAAATAACATTCAAGACTAGTTTGTCAGTTCTGCGTCGTGTTGGTAATGAGTGGCCACTGTTGATTCCATAATCTATTTTTCCACCCACCTTTGCAGAGAGCGACATCAACTACATGTTAAGCATGTACAAACACCACAAACGTAAATAACATTCAAGACTAGTTTGTCAGTTCTGCGTCGTGTTGGTAATGAGTGGCCACTGTTGATTCCATAATCTATTTTTCCACCCACCTTTGCAGAGAGCGACATCAACTACATGTTAAGCATGGCTCTAGACAAGATCGCCTTTCTGCCGTTCGGCTACCTCATGGATCAATGGCGTTGGAGTGTCTTCAGTGGTGAGACGCCACAGAACTTCTACAACACCAAGTGGTGGTCCCTCAGGTAAGTCACGAGGTGAGGTGCAGGTGAGAGACGCCACAGAGCTTCTACAACACCAAGTGGTGGTCCCTCAGGTAAGTCCTGAGGTGAGATGCAGGTGAGAGACGCCACAGAGCTTCTACAACACCAAGTGGTGGTCCCTCAGGTAAGTCATGTTGTCAAACAGGTTATGATGCACATACATGATACATCACTATCATAGTGTGGGCCCTTAGGGGAGAGGAGGTGAAGGATACAGGTGAGAGACGCCTACTATATTCATAAACACCAAGTAGGCCACAGAATGCAAGGTAAGCAGAGGTTGGTGTCTATAAATGGGACATCTTAACATACAATAAACCGGTCAAGAGATTATTGACAACAAAACAACCTGGTACAGTGAATGTATCAAAGTCTCGATTCACATGTGTCACCTCTGTTTCCTGCTAATGTGTTTCAGACCCGTGAAGATCCAGGTTAGAATTCATCTTCAGCAACCCATGCTTGTCGTAGAGGCGACTAACGAGATCGGGTGATCAGGCTCGCTGACTGGGTTGATACATGTCGTCGTATCCCATTTGCGTAGATCAATGTTCATGTTGTTGATCCCTGGATTGTCTGGTCCAGACTCGATTATTTATAGACTGCCGCCATATAGCTGGAATATTGCTGAGTGCGGCGTAAAACTAAACTCACTCACTAATGTGTTTCAGATGCAGATACCAGGGTATATCTCCGCCGGTACAAAGATCCGAAGATGACTTTGATCCTGGTGCTAAGTACCATATTCCGGCCAACACACCCTACATCAGGTGAGAAACAACATTCAGTCTTATATACATCAAATGAGGAACAACAGTCGTATATACATCGGATAAGAAACAACAGCTTTATATACACCAGATGAGAAACAACTACTCGTATCTTATATACACCAGATGCGATACAACATTCAGTCTTATATACATCAAATGAGGAACAACAGTGTTATATACATCGGATAAGAAACAACAGCTTTATATACACCAGATGAGAAACAACTATCTTATATACACCAGATGCGATACAACATTCAGTCTTATATACATCAAATGAGGAACAACAGTGTTATATACATCGGATAAGAAACAACAGCTTTATATACATCAGATGAGAAACAACTATCTTATATACACCAGATGCGATACAACATTCAGTCTTATATACATCAAATGAGGAACAACAGTCGTATATACATCGGATAAGAAACAACAGCTTTATATACACCAGATGAGAAACAACTATCTTATATACACCAGATGCGATACAACATTCAGTCTTATATACATCAAATGAGGAACAACAGTGTTATATACATCGGATAAGAAACAACAGCTTTATATACACCAGATGAGAAACAACTATCTTATATACACCAGATGCGATACAACATTCAGTCTTATATACATCACATGAGGAACAACAGTCGTATATACATCGGATAAGAAACAACAGCTTTATATACACCAGATGAGAAACAACTATCTTATATACACCAGATGCGAAACAACATTCAGTCTTATATACATCAAATGAGGAACAACAGTCGTATATACATCGGATAAGAAACAACAGCTTTATATACACCAGATGAGAAACAACTATCTTATATACACCAGATGCGATACAACATTCAGTCTTATATACATCAAATGAGGAACAACAGTGTTATATACATCGGATAAGAAACAACAGCTTTATATACATCAGATGAGAAACAACTATCTTATATACACCAGATGCGATACAACATTCAGTCTTATATACATCAAATAAGGAACAACAGTCGTCTATATACATCGGATAAGAAACAACAGCTTTATATACACCAGATGAGAAACAACTATCTTATATACACCAGATGCGATACAACATTCAGTCTTATATACATCAAATGAGGAACAACAGTGTTATATACATCGGATAAGAAACAACTGTCTTATATACATCGGGTGTGAAACAACTGTCTTATATACATCGGGTGTGAAACAACACTCGTATAAAAAAACGGTTGAGAAACAACAGTCACATTTATAAAAGAAAAACACTGGGTGAAAAACAACAGTCCTGGTGTATCAGGGGAGAAGCAAAAGTCTTATAAAAACAACGGTTGAGAAACAAACGCCCTGATCAATCAATCTTAATATACATTGTACAGATATATCAGGTGAGAAACAACACTTACTTTACAATAACTGGGCAACATGGTGATCACAGTTCCGTCCCTTGGATACAACATTCACCTGTGATCGATGGTTCGAATACCAGAACGCCTGAGTTATGTGTCTGGACCTGGCGAGAGTATAG